AGGCCCTGCCTCAAAAACAAAAACAAAAAGAATATCTAAAACAATGATATCAGCTTCTACTTTAAGGAGCTGGAAAAAGATTAGCAAATTAAACTCAAGAAAGTAAAAGGAAAGTAATAATAAAACTACGAGTAGAAGTCAATAAAACAAAAACAACGAAATACAGAAAACAATGAACCAAATCTGGTTCTCTGAAAAGATTATAAAATAAACCCCTAGCTACACCAACCAAGGAAAAAGAGAAAATACACATTTCTAACACCAGGCATAAAAAGGTACATGTCAAAACAGAAACAAAATGGTCCATTTTCAAGACAAACTAGTTAACTCTGAGAGGAAATTACTAGCAGGTAAAATTGCCTAACAGCCTGCAGACTGACAAAGTTCTTGCATCTAGGAGGTCTCTAAGCAAACAGGACCTAGGAGAAAAATAAATGAGTAAGAAAGCCTTTGTAGAAAAAGGTATGCATGAGTGGGGAGGGAAAAGAAAGGCACAGACCGGCCCTTTTTCATGGTAAGACAGCTAAGCCTAAGTGCAAACAGGAATCGCAAGCACTGTGACTGCCCAGATGCGCGGCTCACGTAGCAGACACCTGCCTTGAAGACCAACATTAAAAAGCCTCTGTTGTGCTGCTCTTCATGCCTGAGTTCATTCCTTGGTTCTGGGCAAGTGAACTCCTTTCTCTCAGTACATTACTGCAGATCCTCCAGAAACAAAAATCGTAGGGAACACTATTTTCTCAACTAAGTAGGACCAGAAGAAGAACTTCTTCAACCTGATAAATTTATGTAAATGTATTATGAATATTAAAAAATACAGCTACCATCATACTTGATGATGAAAGACGGGAGGACTCCCCACAAACCCAGGACTGAGGACAGGATGTCTACCCAGAGCACTTCTCCATTCAACATTACACTTGAGGCCCTAACCTGCTTAACAAGGAACATACAGCATACTGCATACTGATTAAAAAGATGTCACTATGCCTTTATTCACAGAGGACATGATTATACATGCAAAAATTCCTAAGAAATCCACAAAAATAGATGGAAATTAAAAGTGAATTGCAGCATAATCACAAGAAGTCAATATAAAAAATTATGTATCTATGTGCAAAGTCTGAGCAATGAAAACCAAATTAACATTGTTTAGAAAAATGAAAGAGAAGCTAAAGGATGGAAAAGTATATCCTGTTCACACACTGACAACTCAGCACCATTAAGATGTCAAATCACGAAATTAATCTCTAGATTCAATGCAGTCCCAACAGGATTTTTTGTAGAAACTGATGAGCTGAATCCAAATGCACTGGAAATGCATTTAAAATGAAAAGCTCTTAAGAGAACTAAAGACAAAGTTGAAGGCCTTAACAATGCCTGACTCCAAAACTTATTACAAAGACACAGTAACTAAGGTAGAGCAGCATGAACACAAGGTTGACATACGATCAACAGAAGAGTCCAGAACAGATGCCTGGGTGGGACCATATTAAGTAAACGAGGAGAATGTTAGGTCATAATGGAAATGCTCAGTATCTTAGTTGTACAGGCAAAATGATACAAACATTTGTCAAAACTCAATAATACCTGTACAATCTAATATACACTTAAAATTTATTTTATTGCATGTAAATTATATTAAAGATGCTGTCAAAATATATTAGAAATGATCCCCCAAATCTACCATGATTGTTAATATAGATCTGGTCTGTTATGGTTGTGTCTAGATGTCCCCCCAAAGCCTCATGCAGTCATATGTGGGGCTTTTCCAGAGGCGGATATAAAGTATGTGACACTGGGATTGCTTCATAGTGCAATGCAAAATAAAGGGCACTAGGATTAAGGATGTGAGTGCTACCTGCCCTGAGTAGCCTGGATAAGATATAAGGGATAGAAAGAGCTGTGGTCATTTCTTGTTGCTTTGTTACCTTCTGCCTGCCATGAACTGTTTCTCCTCTGCAATACCTGTCTGCTGTGCCACTCTGCTGTACCACCCTGCCATGGAGCCAGCCAATGACAGACTGAAACCTCTATAAACTGTAAGCTAGATAACCTTTTGCTTGCTTTGTGGGAGACCAGATAGGGAGAACTAAAGCCTAACCGACCTCCTCTGTGAGAAAAGCAGAAAGGCAGCATGCAGGCAGGATGGCACTTGCAGGTTCCAGGGAAAAGTCAACACAGCTGAGATCCAGTTGTTTACTTGGGCATATACTAATAGATAACAGAAAGCAGGTGAATCTTCTGCTACTCTAATTTCTTGTACCCCAGTTGAGTGAATAAAGGCAAAGTGAAACAGACTCTCAGGCATTCTGTCCACTAGAGGCAGAAGCCCCTCAGGTGCTGCATTCTAAACTAACCCTGTCTCTTTTGTCTCTCCTCCTCATTTGCCCTTCCTCCCCCATCAGGTGACAAACTAGTAGGCTGAGTCCCTACATCTCATAACTCATGAGTGTTGGGTATTTTGTCTCAGCAATGAGAGAAAAGTAACTAAGACATGGTTGGAAAGAAAATTAAAGCTTTTAAAAACCCATAATAGGCCAGATACTGTTTCTGGACATTCAATTCTCATAACCACCACCTAAGGTAGAAACTCAGACTTGAACACTTGAATAAATGCTAGGCAACTACAACCCCCACTTATTGGGACTCAAAAGTCAACCTAAGTGTTCCTTTGTTCCTGCTGCTATTACTGCCATCCTTTTATTACATCCGTTTTGCTCAGAGAAATTTTCACTAGTGCTGCATCCTACTGGGACCATGGTTTTTAAATAGTAACTTCATTGGTTTTTAGCTTTCTAAGACAAATCAACTTAAAAGAGGGGACAAGAAAGATCATGAACCTAAGTAATCCATAAACTGAACAATGATAGGCTAACCAATCACTATGTACTAAACACCTCAAACTACAGTATATAAAGATGGTTAGGGCTGGGGATATCACCCAGTGGTAGAGTACATGGCTAGTGTGTGCAAGGACCTGGGTTCAATCTCCAGCACCTCAAAACCAAAACAAACCAAAAAAACCTGTTCATTGTACTAAGGATTTGGTATTTAAATGCTTCTCATAAAATCATAAAAAGGATAAATAAATTCATTTTTTTCTTTTTTTTTTTAGTACTATGGGTTGAACTTAGGCCCTTTACACTGAGCTAAACCCCCAGCCCTTTTTTATTTTTTCATTTTTAGACAAGCTCTAGCTATATTGCACACATCGGAGTCAAACTTGCAATCTTCCTGCCTTAGCCTTCCAAAGTGCTGGGATTACAGGCACATACCTATGTGGTAAGTAAATTCTAGGTAAATTCTCATCTTTCCAGCATCACATAGCAGTTTACTGATAAAACTGTAATTCTCCTCAGTGGTACAACTCTCACACTGGAAATTCAGATAATCTTCAACTTATGGTGATTCAACTTAAATTTTTTTACTTTATCTGAGGCAAAAACAATATGCACTTAACAAAAACCATACTTGGAATTTTTTCCACAAGCCAGCAATATGCAGTAACATACTCTCTTGGACGATACTGTCTAGGAATGCTGGGTAGCAGCTGTGAGCCACAGCTCCCTGTAATTCATTTACATGATCAAGACGATAGGCAACTAACTCTGCAGTATACTCTGCTGTTAAACTATGATGCTGGCTAGGTAAGGTCCATTAAATGCACTCTGGACACCCAGGCAAAGCTGGCCTGTCAGTCCAGCACTCTGGGAGGCAGAGGAAAAAGAACTGTAAGTTCAAGCCTAGCCTGGGCAACTTAGCCAGACTCTGTCTCAAAATTTTAAAAAAAAGTAGAAAATAAAAAAATTTCAAGGGAAGATAGGGATGTAGCTCAGTGTGACAGCCCTGGGTTCAAATACCCAGTACAGCCAAAAAGTATTTTCAATTTATGGGGAATTTACTGGGACAAAACCCTACCAAAAATTCTTATTACAGATTTTTAACCTTTAAAATGTTACAGAAAGTACTATTTGGTTGAACTACCTAACTGGTCTCCTGTGAAAAATAAAATTCTGAGCTGGGCATGGTGGAATATGCATGAAGTTCCAGTGACTCCACAGGGTGGTATGGGAGAGTCCCTTGAGTCCATGAGTTTAAGACCAGTCTGGGCAACCAGAAAGACTACATCTCAAAAAGAAAAAAATACATAAAAAGAACAAAACTGCTGTCAGGTGTGATGGCACACACCTATAATCCCAGCACTTAGGGAGGCTGAGGCAGGAGGATCACAGGTTCAGGAACTCAAGACTGTCTCAAAATAGAAACTATAAAGACCTAGGAATGTTGTTCGGTGGCAGAGTATCCCTGGGTTCAATCCCCCATTATCTACTAAAACAAACAAAAACAACCTTAAAATTCAACACCTAAAAAAGTTAAGACAAATAACCACATATCAGAATAAAAATCTTTATTGTCATAAATACCATAAAATGCATAAAAATATTCAAGGGAGACATGGTAGAAAATAGAGGTAAAATTTTCACATTCAAGAAGGAGCCGGGCATGGTGGCGCACGTCTGTAATTCCAGCACTCGGGAGGCTGAGGCAGGAGGATCGTTGCGAGTTCAAGACCAGCCTGGGCTACAAAGTGAGCTCAAGACCAGCCTGAACTGCATAGTGAGACCCTGTCTCAAAAAGACAAAAAAGAAAAAAAAAAAAAAAGAACAAAGTGGCCAATCATGGTATCACACACCTGTAATCCCAGCACTCAAGAGGCTGAGGCAGGAAGATCTAGAGTTCAAGGCCAATCTGGGTTACACAGTGAGTTCCAGGCCAGCCTGAACTGCACAGTTAATATCCTGTCTCAAGAAGAAAAAAGCAGTAGTGGGAAAGACCTTCTTAAAACTGCAAGACAGAGGAGGTAAAGGTGAGAAATAAACATGCACACATGCTTTTAGTGCTAACTTAACACTACCTGGTATAGAAATCACATTTTTTTTTTTTTTTTTTTTTAGAAATCACATTCTTACTAATTCATGAAGACAAAACATACTTACAGTTATGCGAACACTGAGGAATTATCATTGCAATGTTGAAATATTCAAAGCAAATTCCACATCGCAGCAAATCATCTATTGTCTGAAATGCAAATATACATATACATTGAGAAAGACACTAGAATTGGAATGTTCGCCATGGAATTGTTCTCTATCTCCTAAAAACAAACAAATTTCTTTGTCAGACATATGTATTCAAACGTTAACTCCAGAAAACCTACAAGGAATCTTTTTTTTTTTTTTTTTTGTCTTTTTGAGACAGAGTCTCACTATGCAGCTCGGGCTGGCCTTAAGCTCACTTTGTAGCATGTTTGTGGCCTCAAACATGCAACGATCCTCCTGCCTCAGCCTCCCAAGTGCTGGGATTACAGGGATGTGCCACTATGCCCGGTTCCTACAAGGAATCTTGACAGAAAAAAAAAAACATGTAACCCTCACGTCTCATCCAAATCTCAGGTTATTCAAACTGCTTTTGACACATTGATTCTGCAGTTTCCTGGGCCTTACTCTTAGACATTTACAAAATGTTTAATGTATTCCTGCTCTACTTTCCATGTATTGCCAGTTCTTATCTGAAGCCTCCTCCTCTTCAGACCCCACCCCATGGCCTATGGCTACCTGGGGTAAAAGGAACCAATAGCCACTGTCGCTACGTACATTAAGAACCATATCAGCAATTATTAAAGCTAAACATTAGGAATCATCTAGTCAAGAGTTAGGGATGTAGCTCAGGGGCACAACACTTGCCTAGCATGTATAAGGCTCTGGGTTTGATCCCGAGCATGGCACATCACCAAAAAAAAAAAAGAAAAAAAGAAAAATCAAATTATGTAATTAAAACCCTTCCTTCACAAATGAGGAAACTGGTATCTAGCAGAGGCATGAGTCAAGCTGGGACTAAACTTCCTGTCTTCCCGTTCACTGCCAGTCCAGTACTTTCTGCACAGTATTACCTAGTAGAATCTGGGTCATTGACACCAGAGGAGGTGAGGTAGACAAACTAAAGTTAGATACATGTGTATCAATCTGGAATACAGTCTAAACTGGAAAGGATCTATTCCTGCAACCCAAAATCTTTTAAATCATCTAAGTAAGGTACAGGCAGTACATGTGGTCTGCTACCTTTCCTTCAAAAGGGAGAACTGGCCAGGCATGGTGGCACACTCCTGTAATCCCAGCACTCGGGAGGCTGAGGCAGGAGGATCGCTGCGAGTTTGAGACCAGCCTGGGCTACAAAGTGAGCTCAAGGCCAGCCTGAACTGCATAACGAGATCCTGTCTCCAAAAGACAAAACAAAAAAAAAAGGAAGAACAGAGGGCCCAGGAGCATGGCTCAGTGGAACAGCACTTGCCTAGCTTGTGTAGTGCCCTGGGTTCCATCTCCAGCACTGTAAAATAAAAGGGGAGCGCATAAGAATGTACTTTGTTTTTATCATACAATAAAGAGATTCTGAAAAAAATACACAATAAAATAACGAGCAATGGTGAATTGGGGAGCTGGGAATTGGGGAGCTGGAGAAGTGAGGCGCACTGTGGCAGGTAGACTTACTTTTCATATTGTGGAGATTTTTTTTTAACCATATAAATCTATCTAAATTTTAATATATATATATATACATATTTACATTATATTTTTAAAAAAGAAGATTAATGAGTGGTTTCTTTCCAAGATCTGCAGTTTTTGAATACATACTGCCAAAGTGAGCATAGATCTACAGTTTTGGGATCCAACCAGTCACAATTTCTTCCACCTAGCTTTAGGGCCAATGGGCTTTAGAGGTGCCCTCCCTGCACCTCAGGCCCCTCTGTCCATTCACCCCAGAAGGAGGTTACCATTCAAGCTAAGGTGTGTTTTCGTTCCTGCTGGTAGATGGGAAATGCCTTCGGCCCTCAGGTCTCTGTGGGTGTTGGCTATGGGGCAAGGGTTCAAGTAGACTGGTGGACTTAATGTTGACAGCCATGGGGTCTGGGTACTCCCTTCTCGCCCTGTGCATTGTCCTAGTTCAAGTCAGTTGCTTAGTCCTTGCCTCTGCTGCCTGTGTCAAATGGCAGAAAAGTGCAGATCCAGCTAAGAGTTGGTGGATGGTCTCACCCTTGGGTGTAGGGAGTAGGTCCTGCATAGGCCTGCTCGTTTGCATGTACAGCACAGGCCTGCTTGCCCACATTGGTGGAAGGGCCCCCTATTGTGTCTGGAGTGGCTCCACACATCTGGCACAGGCCTGCTTGCTCACTCTGGGAAGGTCATGGCTCATCTGATGTGGGGCTGTTTGCCCACATCAGGGGAGGAGCACTCCATATTTCAGTTTTAAAGACAACGTCTATGGAGTTCCCAAGGTGCTGAGTCAAATGCAAGAAGCTGACTATAAAATAATCTCAAAGTTTAAATGCACAAAAACAAAACAAAAAACTCAGGAAAAATGTTAAGTGGCAGTAAGTATACAAGTAATTTCATTTTCCTCCTTTAATATTTTTTCTATTATGTACATATATTACATTTATAATCTCCCATAAAGTAATTTTTTGTTATAGTAAAAACCAGTCAACTAACATCAAAATGCAAAAAGCTTACTGTCCATTATCTGGACAGTAAGCTGTTACAGACACAAAAAGCTAGAGGATTGTATTGAAGATCAATTCTAAGCAGAGGCAGGACGAGACACCAAAGCTGGTCTGTTACACTTCTTTCTATATGCCATCACCTTCTGTAAGAGCAGTGGTTCTGAAAAAACTTCAGAGCATGGTTTATGGAAGATAACACCACCTCAGATGGGCTCTAATACCCTGGTACAAATTTCCAGTCACATCACTCCAAGACAGCAACTTGCACGTGTCTCAAAGGAAAAAAAAAAAAAATAATAATAAAGTAAGTAAAGTAAAAGCCTGAATGGAGAGCTATCAGAAGATGTTCCAGGATTTCTTTAGTTTATAAAGTCAAAGAGGAAAAGAGAGAAAGGGTGAAAAGAAGGTTCTTAAGCTCTTGGCTGCAGATCCCTTTGGAAATTGGATGAAAACTACAGACTCCTCTCAGGAAAACATGCAGGCAAAAAGATTATAAATAATTCCAGACATCAAAGTCTATGGATCCAAACTAGAAATCATAGATTCTGATTCAGATTTCTATTTGATATAAAAGCTGCTTCTAGTTCTTTGGCCCTGGAGGAATTCAAACAAAAAATCAGATCAAAAATTGGGAGGTGGTAGAGGAATGGCTTTCCAATCTTAAGACTTCATGATTCTAATGTAAGCTAAATACAGGCTCAATCCACTTTTGATGGAAATACACTGAATACTCTCTAGGACTGAACTGTATATTCAGTGCTGTGGTGAGACGCCAAAGCCAGAGAAGACATGGAACCTGCTTCTAAAAAACAATAGGAAGTGTGGGAATATATAAAATATGCATAAACCTACAAGGCAGAAGCTCTACAGGGCACAGAGCTCTTCTACTTACTTTATCCAACTCAATCTTCATGACAACAAACAAAAAGAGGAGAGAAGCACTTAACATGCTAAGTGCTTATTATAATAATAATAAAGACATATTAATTAAATGTTTACTACATTGTAGATATCTTCCATCAATTAGAAAATAATTTCTGAGCACTCACTTTGCACCCACTGTATTAAACATAGTAAATTAGCCAACAGGCACCCTACCCACATACATAACTCAGCTAAGCAACCTTCTTAACTGTTTTTGTTTCCAGTTTGAGAAAATTCAGTCTCAGAGAGGTTAAAAAAGTAATCCAAGTTTACACACTAAGAGAAAAGGACCGGATTCAACCCAGGACCAGTGAAATTCAAATCTATACTTGCTGCTATATCTTGGTGCTAAGACCACAACGTCAAAACTACCGATTTCCTGGCTGGAACTTACCATAATGTTAGCCTTTCACCACAAGGAAATCTCACGTTCCCAAGCTCTGCCCCTGATGACATCAGGAAGAATAAGACTTTATTTTTACTTTAGCCTCCCCCAAGACCATTCACTTAATCCTCAAAGTGTGCTCTAAGAATCTGGGGTGGGGAGAGGGTGGATACTATTTCCAAGTTTTAAAAAAGGGAGGAAAAGGGGAAAGTTATCCAGTTACAAATGGGGGAAATAAAAAAAAATCACAGCAACAAGAAAATGATTCTTTCTCGGCGAAGTACACCTGCTCTTCAGCAAACCTAGTTTGCTGAATCCAAGGCACACCAAAACTAAAAATGGAAACCAATATGCCTCCTCAAAAACAGAAAGGCAGTGACACACACCTGTAATCCCAGCATTCCGGGAGGCCAAAACAGGACGATTGAAAGTTCAAGCCCAGCCTGGCCAGCATACCGACCTAGAGACCCTATCTCAAAATAAAAAATAAAAAGGGAGAGGGAGGCTGGAGATGTAGCTCAGTTCAAAGGCCCTGGGTTCAACCCTAGTACAAAAAAAAAAAAAAAAAAGCCAAAATAAATAAATGGCCAGGCGTAATGGCACATGCCTATAATCTCAGCACTGGGAAGACTGAGGAAGGAGGATTGCTGCAAGTTCGAGTCCAGTTTAGGCTACAAAGTGAGTTCAAGGCCAGCCTGAACTATGTAGCAAAACCCTGTTTTAAAAAACAAAACAAGGGGCTGAGGATTTAGCTCAGCGGCACAGCGCCTGCCTGGCAAGCGAAGGTCATGAGTTCGATTCCTGGTACCGGAGAAACAACCCCCCCCCCAAAATTTTAAAAACAAAACAAAAGTTACATGAATAAATAATTCAATAAAATGAACCAATGCTGAGCCTAAATCCCGGTCACTGTTTAAAAGCGAGCGAAATAAGCAGTTGTTAGAGGAGTCAGGACACGCTGGCGAGGAACGGATGATAGTATGTCAAGACAAACTGACACTAGGCTTCCATACAGTAATTAAAGACATGAAAGATCACGTAAAGCAGACTACCTGCTTCGCTAAGTAATTTTTAAAGTATTAATTGATACAATATCCATCCAAAATGTTGCCCAGTGTCACTATTTACATAGTATCTGGGACATACACACTCAGGAAGGGTTAGCTTGACACTGTTTGGCGCTCTTCCGATAACATTGTTACTGTTGTGACCCACCCTCAGAATACCTGGTTCCTTAAGACGGCCAACCTCAGCTCACCAAGAGGATCCTAAGATTGTTCCCGTTACTTCTCAAGGGAAGAAACAAAGGCCCAGCTATTGGCAAGAGACACAGCAGGGCCCGGTGCCCCGGCCCACCTCGCCGCTCGCCCAAGTCCTTTCCCCGCCCAAGGTGCGGCTGGCCTCCCACGGATGCCTGGAGCCCCCAACCTCCCCGAAGCACTCACCTTCATGACTGCCAGGCCCGGAGGCCACCGAGGTTCGCCCACGGGTTCCATGAACGTCCAGGAGGATGCTGAGGACCCACTGGCCTCCTACGCGGAACTACCACTCGAAATTCCCCGCGCTGGTGTGTACGTCATCAGCCCGCGATGCCTGATGCGTTGCGGAGCCCGCTGGGAGTTGTAGTGCGCAGGTGGAGCGAGCCAAAGGTGCTAGCATTGCGCACGCGCCAGACTTCTGGGCAGCCTGTCCGGGCAAAAATGGTATTTCTAAAACCGCACAGCAGGTTGAGTGTTAAATGACAGCCAGGAAACAAATAAAATGCAGGCCTTGCCAAATGTTTCAAAATCTATACAGATCCTCTTCCTTCACATCGCCTTCCCTGATCGCTATAATCTGGCCTGCTCTGAGCAGTTTATCCGTCCTTTCTTTTCTTTCCTTCTTTCTTTCTTTTCTTTCGTCTTGAGATAGGGTCTCTCTAAGTTACCCAGGCTGGGCCCGAACTTGAAATGCTAGAATTACAGGTGTACACCACCGTACCCAACCACAGAAAGTGTTTTTATTGTTGTGCACTTGCTTGGCCTATTCACCTATTATTCATACTCGTTCCCACCAGCTGAGGAGTGAGAAACAGATTCCTGGCCCATGGCACCCTGTCAGTAAGTAGAAGAAGTATTTGAACTCGGGTAGTCTGGCCGGAGAGTACACATTAAGCACTGCAGAATAAGGATCTCGTCCTAAGATTTATTCCCATTTTATAGACGTAGGAACTGAGACTCATTCACCATCACAGTTTTGTAACTGGCAATACCAAGGCTTGAGCCCGTGTCTTTCAGCCCCAAACCAGAAGGCATCATCCCCTGACACTTCCTTAGGAATAGCTGAGCCAACAACTGCATGCAGCAGGGCCAGGCCTGAGAATCCCAGGATATCTAGTGGGGCCAGGATAGGAAGAGAGGAGTGGAGAGGTGGGTGCCCCTGTGGCTCCGTACCAGCCAGCCAGAGAAGGGCATGAGATGAACTCCAGGCTGAGGGATGCTGTGGGAAGGCTCTGGCCTCAAGGGTGGAGTGGTGGAGGGAGACACAAGGAAGTGAGAGTAAGATCTGGCCCCAGCCAGTGTGCAGTTACTCCTTTATCAACTAGTTGGCCACACTGTACTTAGGTTTAAGATGGCAAAAGGCTGGGAAGGTGAGCAAGGAAGTGGGAAAAGAGACAAAGAATGGGAAGGGTCAGGCTCAGTGGCACATGTCCATAATCCCAGCAGCTCAGGAGGTTACAGCAGGAGATTTGCATGTATGAGGTCAGCCTGGGCAAATGAGTGAGACCCAGTCTCAAAATAAGATAAAGAGTGTCTGGGCTAAGCAATTTCCTGGTATGTGCAAGGCCCTGGGTTCAATCACCAGAACTGCCAAACAAAGGAGAGAAAAGGAAGAATAGGGAAGGGAAGAGATAGTAGCAGGGAAGGAATGAATTCTTGTCATTCAGCCATGAGGACAGATTCAGCAGGAGCCACCTGCTGGTCTCAGAGTCCAAGCCACTTCCCCCTGCCGCCCTGCCATTCACCTCTGATTCCTGGTGGCCAACTGCTTGGTGAGGCAGGAGTGATGAATCACATATGAGCCCACTGTGCACAGATCTCTTCCTCCCTGACGAAGTCTCCCCCCTGTGCTCCTCAGGTGGCTGTCCGAGGTCTGAGCGTCGCCCCGGGAAGGAGCACTTGAGGCGCAAGTAGGGGCTGAAAGTCCCCTTTGAGCTCTGAACAAGGCATTGCTCTTACCCTCCCTGAGGAGTTTACCCTCCCTGGAGGAGCTTACCCTCCCTGGAGCCCTTTCCTCCAGCAAGTGCTGTTCCAGGACATTCCCCCCTGCAGCTTGATACAGAGCTGTACTTCCTTATTTCAGAGTGAAAACAAAATGTTCCTTGTTAAAAAAAAAAAGGCCAGTGCTCAGCAGAATCTCCCAGGATACTCAGCAACAGTGAGGACCCAGGTTAGAGCAGCAGACTAAAACAGAGGAAGCCCAGCAAATGTGAATTTCAGGTATAAAGCGAACATTTTTTTTAAGTATAATATGACCCAAATATTACACACAACATACTCATACTTAAAAATTAGCCCTCGTTTACCTGAAATTCAATTTTTCTTGCTGGGCATCTTGGGTTTTTGTTTGCCAGACCTGACACCGTTCATGAGGGCAGCATTGTCCCACTGTGTGAGCACCTGGTTGGCATAGTCCAGGGGCAGCTCATGGCCTTCTCCCCTCAAGGGCTCCTGTCACATGCCCTCTGGGCCCCTCCTCATTCATTTAGGGGAGGGAAATGTGAAGACACTCAGGGCCTTGCCTGTCCCTTTCGCCCTCCTCCCTCTTCCTTCCCTTCCTCCCTTCCCCCATCCACTCTAACAAACTCCACAGCCCCCTACTCATGCGTGCCAGGTGCTGGACTACAGGGGAGAAGAAATCACACTTGGAACTGATGATTTGGGGGAAAGAACAGTGCCAGGACAAGAACAAGGACATGTGCAAGAAAATGAAAGGGGGCCGGGGATACAGCTCAGCGGCACAAATGCCTGCAGAGAAAGCGCAATGCCCTGAGTTCAATTCCCAGTACCCGCCCCCCCCAAAAAGACAGTGAACAAAGCTTGTCACCTGGTATGGTGGCACTCACCTGTAATCCAGCGATTCAGGGTGCTGAGACAGTGAACAAAGCTTGTCACCTGGTATGGTGGCACACACCTGTAATCCAGCAACTCAGGGTGCTGAGACTCAGGGTGCTGAGACAGTGAACAAAGCTTGTCACCTGGTATGGTGGCACACACCTGTAATCCAGCAACTCAGGGTGCTGAGACAGAAGGATCACAACTTGAAGGCTGGCCATCCTAGGCAATTTAGCAAGACTCCATCTCAAAATAAAAAGGGCTGAGGAAGTAACTCGTGGTACAGCACTTGCCCAGCATGTGCAAAGCCCGGGGTCCAATTCCCCCAAACCACACACACACAAAAAGAAAAACCCAAGGTTTTCATAAACTGGTAAGTGATGTGAAAATTTTAAAAGGGAATGATATCATAGCTAGTAAAGGACACTGAAAATTGACCTAGAAAGTTCCCAATGAGGAAATGACATGTGTGAGTGACCCAGTACAAAAATCCAGGGCAGAGCTGGGCATGGTGGTGCACACCTGTAATCCCAGCATTCTGGGAGGCTGAAGCAGGAGGACTGCAAGTTTCAGCTCAGCCTAGGCAACTTAGTGAGATCCTGTTTCAAAATAAAAATAAAACATAAAAGGGTTAGGAATACAACTCAGTATGAAGACCCTGGGTTCAGTCCAGTACTACCAAAATAAGTAAATTATTAACCACAGTGGGGGAGTTCCAAGCCTTGGTAAATAATTTGTAGAGCCAATGCAGTGGCACATACCTGTCACTCTACCACTGGGTGAATCATCTAGAAAGATATTAAACAGGCCCCCTACGTAGGGAGTGCCAGGAGCTTAGGGAGCAGAGCAAAGGAGCTGTTGCAAGGAGACAGAACCAATCCTCACCAACTGCTTAGCTGATAGTAACTAAGGGACATGACTCTTGTAAGATCAGGCTGATAATCCTAACTTCCCAGGGCTGTAAGAGCTTAGTCATCTTATGGCACCAGAAGGCAGAGTGCTGGGCACCAGGCGAGTGGCCACCCATGGCAGTGGGAGTTCTGGCTACCATTATTACTGCTACGCTCGCTAATAAACGTTATCAGCAGAGATCACGGAGACCAAGGCCTCTAAAGTCAGACTGCTGGATCCAAACCTTCACTCTCCCAGTCACCAAACTGTGCAGATCTGAGCTCTGGATATGGTTCCTGGGCAAAGGAATTAGGCCTCATTGAACAAATGGTTGATTTGAGTCTGCAGAAGGATAGGGTGAAGATGGGCCTGGGGCATTTTAGGCCCCTAAATAAAGAAGTTGTCAAAAATTATAGGATGCAGGATTCAGTTTGAAATTGCTTTCACTGACTTGAGCAACAAAAGAATGTGGATTGCCACTGGTTGAAATGCACTGAATATTTTAAAAACCAGGAATTTATCCTGAGTCTCATCTGCTACCACAGGAGGCAGCTATCATGTCACTCTTGATAAATAAGAGGAAAGAATTAAACATTTATTCTTCCCTTCCAGGATGAACTATGTTTTAGGGAAACCTTAGCCCGTGTTGGTGAGACTGATTGCTAATAAATACAGGACGAATGATAAAAGCATAAAAATCACCATTTTCCAGCGCCTAATGAAATAGTATCATCCCAGCAATGAGCAACGACAGGTAAAAAAGGTGGGCAACTCCCGGGGAATCTCAGATCCAGGCCACAGGCCAGTTGTCCTCATGGAAGGAGAGCAGCTTTAAAAGTGAGCACTTCGGGAACAACCAGAGAATTTGTGCTGTAGTTTGGGGTTTTGCAAGGGGAACAATACAGAACACATGATTTATAAGATTATTTTATAATAGTCACCCTAAGAGTCACATACAAAGAGAGTGCAGGAAATCTGTCCACACACTAAAGACCAAAAGAATCCAGCTGAGGGCCTGGATCCCATGGCAATGTCCTGCATGAGTTCAGCTGAAGACCTAGAGCCCATGACAATGCTCGCTACAAGACCAACTGGAGGCCAAGAGCCCATGACAATGTCTCCCGCAGGCCTGTTTCATCGATCTGTGCTGGGAAGGCCCAAAGGTCAATGGTAGAAGCTAGAAAGTCTTTGTCAGCAGCATGAAGGATCTGTGCTGGCAGGCTGAGGGAGCTGCACTGGAGCCAGCAAGCGATGCTCAAAGTGAGGACTAGAGCTCCCCCAAAAGGTACCACAGCCATCCTCAGCGACAACGAGGTCCCAAGCTCCTCCGATGATGAGAACAGTCGAGTCCATATCAGGGAAGCCAGCAGGAAATCTTTTCCAGGGGACTGAACAGTGTGCACCATCTTCCCCTCTGGCACCAGAAAGCAATGCTGAAAGTAAGCACCAGAGCTCCCCCACCATGCACCAAAGCCATCCTTAGTGACAGTAAGGTCCCGAGCTCCTTTGATGATGAGAACAGCCAAGTTCATCAGGAAAGCCAGCATGACAAGCTCCTCCAAGAGAACTAGCAGCTCCCTAACAGCCTTCCTTCTTCTTCTCCAGTTCTACCTCTTATGCTGCTGACAACAATCCTCAGGTGGGCCACCCCCCAACTCAGCACCATGCTGGTTCAGTGCAGCTGGGTGTTACAAGCTGATCACCAGTTGTCAATCTACACAGCTACTATATTATATCATAAAATCATTTACTTTATTTAGTGTGTAAAGAGACTGTCACTATGTTGAAAATATTTGTAGAGATACAAGCCATTGTATTTGAGGATGATGGTGACCTAAAATTGTAAAAAGGAGCAAAAAAAATGGAAAAACATAAATATCTATTAAATCTAGGTATAAATATAATGGGCTAATTATACTAGTTCCTATTCTAAAAATTTCAACATTTCATCAAAATTAGATGCTGCTTCCTTTGCCTGCCATCTTACAAATGACCACCTGGGGGTAGCAGAGTATTGGGCTGGATGTGGACTCAGGCGCAGAGGAGGAATGGCAGGTGGATGATCGCCTCGTTGATCTTGTGTTCTTTCATTTGTCTGGCATTTAATGATCTCTGACTATGTGCAGGGTCCTGTATGCTGGACCTACAGACACAGGGTCAAATTCTCCTGGGCCGTATGCAGAGGTTTGGAAACCAGGAAGGGGTGGCCTGCACGTGGTGCTGCCCTCCTGGGTCTGTGCAGACCCTTATGTCAGACAACATTCACTGGGATGGAGACTTTGGCCGGGTACGGTATTTACATTTACGTTTTCAACTGTGTGGCCTTGGGAAAGTTACTCTACCTCTCTGAACCTCACAGCACTAAAAATAGATCCTGCCTGATAGTTTTCCCATGGGAATGTCTACAGGAAGTGTTTGAAGAGTGCTCAGCACATAGTGAGTGCTGCGCACAGTGTATTTTCCTACATAAGTGGTCCTATTTGGAGCTGTGGAGTAGAGGCAGGCTGTCAACTGTCCAATTTACATGAAGGCCCAAGGTCAGCTGGTGAAATAACCAGTTCAGTTTTGGGAGAGGGACACTGGAATTAAGACTCTCCAAAGGCAAGATCGTAATTATAGCAGCCACATGTCCTGAGAGTTTTCTGTGTTCCAGCCATAGTCCCAAGCCTCCAGGCAGGTGCCGACACTGCCTCCGCTTTAGAGAGGAGGGAACCGTGAGGCTAAGGGGCTCAGCGGAAGGCAGGCCGGGACTCCTTCCTGGCTGTGGGCCTTGGTGTCCTCCTGCAGATCTGCAAGGGTGGCTGTACTGCTTTCTGGAGGTGGGTGCTGTGGGATTTATCTGGAAACAGGGGTGTTTCATCCTGCAGTTGGCAGAATCTGTGGACCTGGGGGAGGGATGGCAGGATGTCTGAGCTATGCTTGATTCCCAAGGCTGCATTCTTTGGAGGTGAGGTTGGTGGTGGCTCCCTGAGGTTTGCCTTCCTTATGGGGAAAGGCAGCCTAACCAACTCTCAGCCCTGTGGTCAGGTAAGTCTGATCCCTACCTCTGCATCAAGAATAGGCAGGTGACCAGACCAGCTCAGGGACAGAAGACTGGCTCTCCCCACAGAGACTGATTCATGTGAGCATGTGACTCACACTAGGCCAAATCACAGAAACTCCAGGGACATGGACCCAGGCCTTGGGAAAGAGGTACACTTCTTTCTGCCAGTGTTGCTAAGTGCTAGGGCCAAAGCCTGGGATAGCTTTGGACCATCTTTCCACCCCCTGGGCAGTCAGCGGGAATGAGGTG